CTAACTAAGCTGAGTGGATTTTCAGAACACCAAAAGCTGAGGGAAATGGTCCCCAAGGAAAAGGAAAGGGTGTTTGAGACAACAAAACCTGTTAAAGTTTAAGAACCCTAGATGCTTTCCAATCCCCGCAGCTTCTCCATTTGTTGTACTGTTATTCAGGCAGTATTGGACCTCATTCAATGATAGTAGTAATCAATAGAAACCATATGGGATTTATGCACAGAAATTGTGGAAGAAGAGAACATACACACAGGCTGTAAAAAATAAACACTGCACAAGGAATTAACCAAGGAAACAAAACATATGCTCAGATAAGTTCTCTATGTCCTCAGAGGAATTTCAGACAACACTATCTTTCTAGAAAATGACCCCAAGAAAAGACGTAAGAATTCAAAGAAGAGATTTAAAAAACAAAAGAAGATAAAAGGCAAGCTAGTACATTCAGGATGAAAATGGAAGCGTAAACCATGCTAGAGATGGAATCTACATTAGAAGCAACAGAAAATAAGATACAAATAATTGATTCTGTAGTTCGAACCATTGTGGAGAGACTCTGAGAAATCACATAAAATGAACAACAAAAACCAATATTTGTTAGTTATTCTAGAGAAAATTGCTATTATTATTGAAGAAAGACCAGTAATAGGGATCCTTGGCATTTCTTGAGGAGAACAGGCATTTCTAAAGAAGGAGAATAAAGGAATAAAAAAAAAATTATTTTCAAAAATAAAATAGAAAAGAGAACTTTCTTGTAATAAGGGTGACTTCAATTTACAGATCAAAAGGGCAGACGTATTCCAAGAAAAACTGAGGTAGGCTGTTCAATATCAAGATACTCCCTGCTGAAGTTGTGAAACACCAGGGATAAAGAAAACCTCGCACGACAGCCACGTCGTTAGTAAACTATGTACAGAGAGAAAACTCAAGTTTATTTGGACCATTTCACAATGCCAAAAGACAGAGGTCCAACATCGAAAAAGGTCTAAAGGAAAGAAAATGCGATTCAAGGATTGTGTGCATGTCAAGTATAAAGACAATAGACAGGCATTCTCAGACCTATGGAGCCTCAGGTAATAAAGCACTCAGGAACCCTTCTTGAAGAACAACTTTTGAATGAAATCTATCCAAACAAAGGATGAGTCAAAACACATTCTAAACTAGAGAACCTGAATGTATTAATTTCCTAGGTCTGCCGTAACCAAGTACCACAAACTGGATGACTTAGCGCAATAGAAATGCATTGTCTCACAGTGCTGGAGTCTAGAAGTCGGAAATCGAGGTGTCAGCAGGGCCATGCTCCCTCTGACACAGCTAGGGAAGGACCTTTCCTTGCCTCTTTCAGCTTCTTACAGCCCCGGATGTCAATTGGCTTGTGGCAATATAAGTCCCATCTTTACATGGTGTTCTCCCTGTCTCTTCATATAGTCTTCCCTCTGTAAATGCCTGTACCCAAATTTCCCCTTTTATAAGAACACCAGTCATACTGGATTAAGGCCCACTATAAAGACCTCATTTTAGCTTGATTAACTCTATAAACACTCTATTTCCAAATAAGGCCACATTTTGAGGTACTAGGAATTAGGACTCCAACATACCTTTCTGAGGGAGGATATAATTGAACCCATAACACTGATGTAACATAGAGGGATGAACACTGAGTCCGTTAAATAATAGAGCTAAAAGTAAATGACAGTAAGAAGTATGATTAGAGAATAAAATGAAATGAGGTAAACATTAACAATGGAATCTGGAGACAGAATCGGGCTGTGGAATAAAGTTAAGTGTGAGTAATTCCTCATCAGCCATAGAAGGAAGTCATAGATATTACTTAAATTAAAATTTGTCTTTAGAAAAAACAAAACAAAAAAACATAGCGAATTCACTTTTCAATAGTTTCATTCTTTTTTTTTTTTTTATCCTCACCCGAGGATATTTTTCCATTTTTTGTACAGATAGAGTGGGAGGGAGAGAGAGGAAGGGAGAGAGAGAGAGAAACATCGACGTGAAGGGACACATCGAGTAGCTGCCACCCACACGACCAACCAGGGCCGGGGACAAACTGCAACCGAAGTACGTGCCCTTAGCGGGAACCGAACCCGGGTCTCTCCAGACCGCAGGCTGACTCTCTAACCGCTGAGCCAAACTGGTCAGGGCTCATTCTTTTTTTTTTTAATTCTAGAAGAATTCATCTTTAAAGAATTTGTGAAGAAACAACCAATTAGTCATTTCTAAGATTTGTTTCAGTTTTTCTACCATTAAATTCAAGTAATATTAAACAATTTTTATCTAAAATAGTATGTAGAGTATGGTCCTATTTTTATAGAATTCTATCAGTTATTTTATGTAATTATCCACATACCTATAAAGTCTCTAATGACATTTTATAGATGTTGGTAATGGTGGTCTGTGCAGTAGGATTTATACTGAAGTGTTGTTTTTTAACTTTCCTTGTTGTACTTTTCTATTTTACTTGAATTTGTATAATGGAATTCGTTATTTTGAATAAAAACAGTAAAGTCATTGTTTCACATTTTCCAAAAAGCTTTCTTTGTAGGCATTGGAGATGGACTCAACTTCAGGGCCCAGGAGGAGGTCGGTCCAGAAGGCACAGGCGGGATCTGAGAGTGTCGTGACTGCTGACCCAAGGCCTCTGGGCTGGTAGGAGGTCCTTCCACAACTGGGAGTTCTGTCTCACAGCTGCTGTGGCAAAACACGCCTCAACTTTAAATGCCACCACATGTTTTAAGGACTTTCCGCAGTCAGACCCAGCCACCAAAGAAGCCACATGGCCTCTAAGTTCAGCAAAATGAGTCAGATCTGCTTCTAACTTTGGAGAGTATCCAACATTTGCTTCATTGTGACATTGAAGAGGCCAGTGCTCCCAGAAATCAACCTGGAGGTTGACTTTGTTCTTTTCAACCCCCAAGCAAGATAGCTACCTATGTGACTGTCCTAAGCTGACAGCTATGTGACCAAGTTCCCCACTCCATCCTCCAAGCTGGAGTTTTTCAACAGGAAAAGCATCTGGGCATATAACAGTCATCATCATATTCCTATTTTATTGTTCCTCTTCTTATATCTGGTTGCCACCAAATGTTTGGCAGGAAATTTATCTTTTATTACTTTGCTTCCTGAATTTTAATAGATATGGTGGCGGTTTCTCTGGATACAGCACGTAGGCAGCTGGGTTTTGCGAGGCTGAGAATATCACAAAAGAGTTGTGGGCTTTCAGCCTTGCTTCCTGAAAGTTGGTGCTGGCCCTTATATTCAATCTTTCTAGCCTGCATAATATATCAGCTGTCCCAACGGCACACACCAGCTCAGCAGCACTGAGCGCAGGGACAAGCAGGGGGACAGCGGCAGGGAAGTTTGCAGTGGGTACAAGGTCTCAGCCTGGGAAAGTGCTTCCTATCGGACTTGAGGCGTTCTCTAACCCTAAATGCAGGCCTAAGGGAGTGTAGCCCATAGGACCCACATACTGAGCGCTGCCAAAGGGTGGGGGATCACATGGAGCCAGCATCTCCAAGGGACAGAATCACTAGACCGGTTGTCATAGTAACATAGTCCTAGATGCAGGTGGTTAGGCCTTCGGTAAATGTTGAGCACAGAGAAACACAGCGGGAATCATGAGGCCAGCACCTGCCAGCAGCCTCGTGAAGCTTCTTAGAAAATGTTGTTCATATTCACTTTTTTTTTAAACCAGAAAGATTATTATTATTATTACAGAGAAACATATTTGTCAAAATGTATAGAAAATCAATTTATTTCAAATAAAATGATACTACAATGCATATGTTTTCTGTGGTCGGAATCAAAGTCTTAGAATTATTTGCTGCAATTTGTCCATCTCCTCTTTGCTCTCTAGATACATCTCAGACGGGTGCTAATCATTCGGAGAGGCTGAGTGTCTCAGGTTATATCCATTTAGACAAGCCAGCAGAGATCCTCTTATTACCACACCCCCACCTCTGGATCACCTGTGTCTCCTCTCAGAACCTCTCCTCCTCCAGTTCTTTGATTCGTGATCAGCTAATGTGTCACTGTGTCTGGCAAGGCTGTGTCTTCTCTGATAGTTCTAGCTTGGGCATATGGCTTCCGATCTACTTATTTGTGTTCATTTAGTTGCATCTTTTTCATACCAAAGTTTACATCTCTAGAGAGCTACCTCTGTTTATTAAAAATACAATTTTACTCATTCAGTGAAAGTAGATTATGAACAAGTAGCAAAATGAAAAATGATCCTTTCAGGAGAACCTTCCAGCTCCTTCTTAGGCTACTGCCCAAAATAGGGCTGACAAAAGTCTCTGCCTTATCCAGTTGCAAACCTCGAGTGACTACTATGTTTAGCCATTTTTATGAGAGACTCTTCAGCTCCTCCACTCCTCAGCCTGCTCCAATCAGGCGTCGCCTCCTCCATTCCACCAGCAAATGCTTTCCAAGACCACCTGCGAGCCCCTGCTCTTGCTAAATACAATGGATATGTTTCCATTCCCATTTCCCTGAACTCTGCTCATATGTGAAACTACTTAGCAGTCCTTCCATCCTTAAACTCCCTCATCCACTGATTTCTCTCATGTCTCTCATTTCTCCCGGTTCTCCCAAGCTCTCCAATTAATCCTTTCACTCTTCAAGGGGCTTCTCTTCCTCCCCTACTAGTCAGTTTTCAGGGTTTCATTCTCAGCAAGCAAGCTATTTTATCCTCATTTTTAGCTACCAAGTATCTCTGAACCCAGACTTCTCCAGAGTTCCAGTCTCATATATCCAACCCCTGTTCAGATGTCTTAATTTGCACCAAATAAGACACCATCATGCCACCAAGCACTCTTCCTCCACTGCATTGCTTGTATTACGTGATATTTCTGCAGGCCAGGGAAATGTGCTCATGAATGAAAATAAGAACCATGCTCGGGTCCCCAAAGCAGAAGTGAGTCTGAAAACTGCAATTACTATTCTTGGTTTAATCAGAAATCATGACCTTAAGGGATTTAGCAGATACTGACCTCAGAGAAGTTCGGTTGTTCTTCCTCCTGTGTCTATGTCCCCTTAGAGGTCTTTATCTCCCCTGGCAGAAGATGGGGAGAAATAACTATGCTTCTCCTCTGCACCAGTGATATCGGTCTAGAGATAGGTGACTGTGAAAACATGGATGGAGGGGCTCAAATGGATGGAGAGTGAGCTCAGGAGGATTCTTCCAAATGCTCTGATGTGTCCTAAGAACAAAACCAAGCCAACTCATTTAGCTCTAAACTCTGGAGCTTTAATCTTTTAAGAACACACTTCCTTCCTGTATTTCTAATAATTGCTGTTTCTGGAAATGCCGCCAGTCACCCTCTCTCTTCCAAAAGAGTTGAGTCACAAAAATAGAACCATGAGAAAAGTTAGTTTGACCCCTTTTCTCTCAGAAATGCACTGGTGGACAGAGCCTGGAGAAATGTGGTGGGGGTCAGGGCGAGGCCTTCCCTAGCTGGTTCTCCTATTACAAGGAAAAATAAACTGAAGGAAAGGATTAAAAATATTCTAAATTAGTCATCCATTGGAAAGGGATTTTGTGGGAAAGAGTTCACACTTGCCTTATTATAGGTTGTTTTTTATCTTCTTCTTTTTTTTTCCTCACCTGAGGATATTTTTTGCATTTATCTTCAGATAGAGTGGGAGGAAGAGAGAGAGAGAAACACCGATGTAAGAGAGACATATCGAGTGGTTGCCACCCACACGACCCCAACCAGGGCTGGGGACAAACCACAGCTGAGGTACATGCCCTTAGTGGGAACCGAACCTTGGACTCTCTGGTCTATGGGCCAAACTGCTGAGCCAAAACGGCCAGGGCACCTTATTGTAGTTTTTGTCAGATTCTCATAGGGGTCCTTGACACCCCAAAGGGTAAGAACTATTCACTTCGAGGTTAACTTAGCTGTACTGGTTATCTTTGCTATATAGCAAATTATCCCAAAACTTAGCAGTGTACTAATACAACTAACGTTTCTTATCTCACAGGTTTTGTGGGTCAGGAATTGAGGAGTGGTTTAGCTGGATGACTGGGCTCAGGCTCTCCTGTGATGCTGCAGTCACAAAGTCACCTGGGGTCGCTGCCCTCCAAAGACTTGACTGGGGCTGGAGCTTCTGCTTCTAAGATGGTTTGCTTGAGTGGCTGCTGGCAGAAGGCCTCAGCTCCTTGCTGGGTGTCGTCAGGGGGGCACCATTCCCCGCCACATGCACTTCTCCAATGGGCTGCTCAGTGTCCTCTGAGGGAATGTCCACTGCTGAGTGAGTGACCAAGAGAAAGAGCAAGGAGGAAGCCACCATGCCTTTTATGACTTAGTCTCAGGAGCCATGATTGTCACTTCTGCCACATGCTATTCTATAAGCAAGATAGTTCACATTCAAGGGGAAGTAATTAAGCTCCACTTTTTGAAGGGAGGTATGTCAAAGACTTTACGGACGTATGTTTAAACTACAAAAGTAGTCATGAGGCCTTCCTTTATAGTCTTGCTAAGAAGCCATTTTCTCTCCCCTTTCTTCTATCACTTCATTTTGCAGTGTCTGGGACTCCCCCATGACCTTGGACAACTTCTTTGTATCTCAATATTTTCATTGGTTACTGGAGATAATAATAATACCTACTTTGTAGGATTATTATATGAAGATTAAGTGAAATGCTGGATTAATGAATATTTTAAATGTTAGCTATAATAAGAGTGGCCTCACCCCCAATCTAGAGCTTTCCATTTCCATGAAATAGAATTGCATATTTATGAACCGTAAATCTTCTAGATGGGATAAGAAGTGATTAGTTATTGAGAATTTATTCATAGAGTAGGTGCTGTAGGGCAGAGAGAGACAGAAGAAGTTAAAAACAGACCCTGTCCTTGATAGGTCTAAAATATAATTGGAGAAAAGATACCCACACATGAAACAGAGGAATGCTTTGAAAATCATGTGACCTTTGTGGACAGGGAAGAGCACCTGCACTGAGTATACTTTTAAAGGTTAAGATTCAGGCCACGGAGCATGAGGGAAAATTAAGGGAATATGGATACTGAAGTTTGAAAGGGAACCACAGAAACCTTTTCAGGAATCATAGCTGGAAAAACAAAGGGGTGACAATAAGGATTTATGAAGATTTCACAGAGAAAGGAATAAACTTCATGAGAAAACAGGAGTTTCTCTGGTAGAAGGACTGGTTTGTGCTGTGGCAGTCCAACCTATTTATGGAAACAAAGATATTCTGTTAACCTTTCAAGGGCAAGAAAAGTGTCTATAGGCTTCTATAATCTAGTACAGTGAGCCGTGGACAACATTGTTTTAAAAAATGCAAGCTTAGCCCTGGCCGGTTTGGCTCAGCGGTTAGAGTGTTGGCCTGCAGTCCTGAGAGACCCGGGTTCGGTTCCCGCTAAGGGCATGTACCTCGGTTGCAGTTTGTCCCCAGCCCTGGTTGGGTTGTGCGGGTGGCAACCACTCGATGTGTCCCTTTCATGTCAATGTTTCTCTCTCTTCCTCTCTCTCCCTCCTCTCTCTCCCTCCCACTCTATCTGAAAAAAAAAAAAAAAAAAAAAGGAAAAAAAAAGAATGCTAAAAATGCAAGCTTAGCCTGGCCAGTGTGGCTCAGTGGTTGAGCGTTGACCCATGCACCAAGAGGTCACCAGTTTGATTCCCAGGCAGGGCACATGCCCAGGTTATGGGCTCGGTCCCCAGTGTGGGGCATGGAGGTGGCGATCAGTTGATGTTCTCTCTCATCGATGTTTCTATCTCTCTCTCCCTTCCTCTCTCTCTAACAATCTATAAAGAAAAATAAATACATAAAATAAAAATGCAAGCTTAAGAAGTACAAATTAGTTGTTAGACTGAGGAACCTCAAAGAGAAGGGGGGAGGGACAGGAAGAGATAAACCAAAGAACTTACATGCATATATGCATAACCAATGGACACAGACAGTGTGGGGAAGGCAAGATGGGGTGGGAGCGGGGAGGAGGGGGTCAATGGGGGAAGAAGGAGGGGCATCTGTAATACATTCAACAATAAAGATAAGTTCAACAAAATAAAAATAAAAATGCAAGCTGAGCCCAGCTGGTGTGGCTCAGTGGTCGAGTGTTGACCCATGAAACAAGAGGTCGGCGGTTCAATTCCAGGTCAGGGCACATGCCCAGGTTGTGGGCCAGATCCCCAGTAGGGGGCAGGCAGGAGGCGGCCAATCCATGTTCTCTCTCACTGATGTTTCTATCTCTCCCTCTCCCTCCCTCTCTCTCTCTAAAATCAATAAAGAACAAATAAATAAAAACAAACATGCAAGCTGGAAAACCACTTCTTTAATTCAGACTTTGGATTAAAATATTTACTGGCAAGCGTTCCACAGAGCTAGTGCCCTGCAGCCCCGCTTTTCTGTTTGTTTCCTTCTGTGGGAGGGGCCAGGTTTCCAGGAGCTGCTTAATCCGATGCTCAGATTCTCAACAGTCCTCGCAGGCAACCTCACAAGACTAGGGGGAGGAGGAGTAGAGAGCCAGCTCCAGTCTGGTCTCAAAAGGCGCATCTGCAGCATGGAGGGCATGGGAGGCAAGGACGATCAGACACTCCTGGGGCCTTCAGTTGCCACCTCTCATCTCTGAGATCTGACTCTCCATTATCTTGTTTTGGGGAACTAGCTTTAGTTAATTTTAGTCTGTAAGTAGCCGAGAGGTTTTCAAGTGGGTGAGAGTCAGCTGCTTACTCATTACCTTACTATTAAGTTATGACAAAAGCACATCTCAGACCATATTTTACCCCTTTAGATAGACATTTATTAAATAAACATTCATGAGCAATTAGATGCAGAATATTTTATGCAACCTGCTCTTTAGGTTCCACAAAGTCCCAGCTCCTGTCTTTTTAAGTGATCCAAGCACTACCTGGGATAAATAGTTCCCTGGAGGCAGAACCAACAACACTTCAGAGGCATTTCATTATCCTTGTGGTCAGCGTTAGGCAGCAAGAATGCCACCCCCACCCCACGCCCAATCCCCCAAAGTCTGTCTGGAGACAAGAGGGGCTCAGGATCAAATGTCTGGCACCATCCTACAGGTTCAAACTGATGACCTTGCTAGACTCTTAAACTCTGTTCAGGCAAACACCAGGAGTGCCTCTAAAACCTGTTCACATACCTTGGCTATCTTTCATCAGTAAGAGCCCTTACTTGTCATTCCTCATGCTAATTACCAAGCCACTAAATTCATCAAATAAAAGCCATTTATAATATCACTGTGCTGATTAACAGATTACTCAAGCATTTGTAGGGGCCACCCTGGCAGACGAACTCTCTGGTAGAATGCTGGCTGACTACTCTGGGATATAAATTGCCCTTAGAATTGAAGCTTAATCTAGCTAACTAAACAGCGTTACAGTCAATGTTGCAGTATTTTCAAGTAAATTACAGATATCAAGATATTTGGTTTGTCCTGAGAGGAAAACAACAATCATTTTCACCAGGTTCAGTGGAAAGCTAGTGGGGACCAGGAACATCAGTCCCAGGTCCTGTGGCTATTTTATCAGTCGCAATTTCTGTCTAGAAAGACAATGCGAGATACGATACAAGTCTGTGAGATTGTATTGAGGGCTCCAAATTCCTAAGCATTATATTACAGGGAGATACTTGTGACTTGAAAGAGGTTATTGTAGTACAAGTAGAAGAAAATATTATTTCACATGGTTCTTATGAACCTGGTTACCCCCAAGGGTAGTTCGGGCTATAAACAAATAATTCACTCTGGGCCATTATCAAAGGTCATAATGTGGCAGCTCACAAAAATCTGAGCGATATTGTAACATTACTGAATTTTATTAGTAGTACTTAAAAAAGCAGTTGCCATTCCCATAAAAATCTGGATTTCCAGATTCTCTTGAAAAACAGTTGGATCTGACAATGCTGGGTCTGCATTCCCTGTAGACATCGGGCAGGAATCGAGGACCTGTGTAACGGGCACTTCCTCCCCAGCCTGCACAGTCCTCACGGATCCCATATCCCCAACACCGAGGCCGCTGCCCGGTGCCAGTCATAATCTCACCTGCACTGCTGCGTTACTCGGGGTCGAGTTAGCAGAAATGTGAACTCTTTCCTGTACCTTGAGCAACGTTTCAGTGTTGTAGTTAGGAGTATGGGCCCTACAGGCAGACAGCCTAGTTTGGAATCCTGGTTCTTTTTAACTTTTTGGTTATGTGACTTTGGGCAAGTTG